TGGTAGTTAACATAGCATCCAACAACTCACTTTAAAGAAATCCACACTCACTCATCTCCTCTGATAACCCTCCTTTGCTAAAGAGGTGGAAAGAGTGATTGGTCAGGTTTTCTTGAGATCCTGACAGTAGGTCTGGAGGCATGATATGGTGCTATTCTCTCTTGAGGATGTATGTGTTCTTCAGAACCAGATACTCAGCTTGTAGGTATCAGCCAAAACTACAAGACAATGAGAAAATCTATATCTAAGATCCTAAGATTCTGTTGCATATAGTGAATGCAAGTGGGCACGTATTTCTTCTTTCTCTCTCTCACACCCCCCTCCCCCACCTCTCTCCACTCTCCCACAAGGCATCATATAATCAATCAGCATTGACATCTTGCCAGGTCTGTGTGGGTACTGAAGGAGTTACCAAGGAAGACTAGATTGAAAATTAAAAACCCTCAAGAACTAATCATTATAATAAATGTTTTTAAAACAATGGCTTTTATTTAAACCTATTAAATTCAACAGAGTACCTGTGCTAGCTAGTTAAATTCTCTCTAGTGCTCAAACCTCTAAAACTTTCTGATTTGATTTTCACTAGACAGGTGTCTGTGGCTTTGTCATGAGCTGTAATCATGTTAAGATATTACCTGAGAGAGTTTATCGGATGGGCAACGATGACCATATCATCTGCAGCCCCCTGCAAAGGAGAACAATTCAGGCAAATATTTTTCTTCAAGTTGCTATGGCTTTTCCCGTGGATGGATGTCAAATGAAAGTAATCCTTCTACCGTGGCTGAAATGACCTGGCCAGATCCAAAGACACCTATATAAATGTATGTGAGGCAAGGAACTTGGCCTGAAACATAGCCAGTGGAAGTGACCTAGCCAGAGCTCTCAGTGCTGGTGTGAACATGATACACAGCAGAAAAAGTGGGTCAGTCGAGCTGATTTTGTATGCTGTGAGGCATGAAGCACCTCACAGTCTGCTGAACATTACAGTTTTAGACGAGCTATGAGGCAGAACCACTCCACAGTTGCTAAATACATTCCTAGCCTTCACATCGCTGCAGTATTCTTGCTCATCTACCTGGCCTTCTGTTGTGAATATGCATTAGAGTAAATACAATTTTAAAAGGGTAAAATTATGGCCAGTTTTCTACTGGCCAGTTTTCTACAATTCCAGAAACATTGCCTCTATTTAAAAAGAAACTACTGCTAAGATCAGGACTGTCATAAAATGTCATACTGCTAACATAATTCTTTCACATGAATAGAAAAAGTTCTTTGTTTATTCTTTATTTCTAATCTTGTGAGAAAACTTCATTAGTAATAGATGTAATTGAGTTTTAGAAAATTCCCCACAATCTTACCATATGAAAGATATTTCAGAATTATATTACTTGTCAAAGACTGCAGAGTTGAGCACCACAGCATTACATCTTTTAAAAAAAGAGAATTATCCTGTTTCTACCGGACAAAATTGTGGAAAATTCTTTAAGGGGGAATATACAAGTAATATTCTTCTTGGAAATTTAAAATCTTAAATATGAAAAACGCCATGAACATTTTTTTTCTTTTTCAGAAAGACAGTAGAACCACTTTTAATAGGTGTTCATTAACAATATTGCCTCGTATAATGCACCGTTTAAAGGAAAAAGAAAAATGCAAAGAAACTACCTGGAAGAAATTCATTGAAAACATTTTTTCCAGAGTAAATTGGGAGTAAAGAGTCATTCAGACAAGCTGAAATGTTGTCATTATTCAGATGACAATAATACTTCACAAATGTGTAGTATTTATTTCACACACGGTGCAGGACACAATGGAAGGTTGTACTCAGAGGAAAGGTAGCTATTTAGGAGAGGTCCCTCGTCTAATCTAATAGGGTGGGTCAGCTAACTGAAAAATCTCAAAGTGGGAACTGTAGAAAAATCTAGACATCTGAAACAACTGAACTTAAAAGATGTGAATATATGTCATTTGTCCATCTTTTCATATATGGCAAGGGATTTTCTTGAGTACACTTACTAGTTGTACTTTCAAGTTGCCATGTTTGCATCATCCTTATTTGTAATGTCACCTCTAAGATGACCAGCTTTGGTTTCTTTAAAGTAGGTTAAAAATTTAAAGCTTCTCATGGAAAAAAAAAGTCTGATTTTAGTATGTTTGTATTTTTCCCCTTAAAATCAGCTACAGTTTTTGCTCCAATACCTTTATAAAGTCATCCAAAGTTTTCAATTTTTTATTTATGTTCATATTTTGTTTTCTTCCAAACTATTTTTTTTTCTTTTGGCAGTAACAGGGCTTGAACTCGGGGGCCTGTTCTTGGTAGGCAGACGCTCACCACTTGAGCCACTCTGCCCACCTTTTCTTGTAACTGTTTGCCCATGCAGGCTTTGAACCATGATCTTCCTGATCCTTGCCTCCTGAGTAGCTAAGATTCTAGGTGTGAGCCACAGATGCCCAGCCATATTATTTCCTTTAATGCGTTTATAGTAATAACCACAAATAGCAAAAAAAGAGGTGAGAAATTGACAAAACTGATTCTCTCTCAAGAAGTAAATGTAGTTCAACCATTGGGTGTACCCCAAGAGTATTTACCTGACGCGGAGCAAGCCCACAGATGCTCTGGGCATAAGTGAATAACCTGTAAATGCAGGAAGCATGGGTCTGTGAAGCCAGGCAAGTGGAAGCTGGTGAAGGAGGCTTCTATTCAATGTTAATTCTTATTGCTATTAGCATTAATGCAGAAGAACTATTAAGTGAGCGTCATCTTTTGCAACAACTGTGGAAAAGGTTATTTTTGAAAGTCCAATTTGCCTCAAGTTCATAAATGTATTTTTTTAATTACTCTCATGATTTTCATAGTATGTATGTAGTTTTTGAAACTTCTGACAATTTGTTATTAAAAAGGTATATTTTATTTAATCAAATTCCTGTGATGAACTGGGTACCTGTTGTTCATACCTGTTATCCTAGCTACTTGGAAGGCTAAGATAGGAAGGATTTCAATTCTAGGCCAGCCCCAGCAAAAAAAATTTCATGAAACCCCCAGCTCAGCCAATAGGTTGATGGAGGGGTGCATGCCTTTCGTCTCATGCTATGAAGGCAGTTGAGATCAAGAGGATTGTAATTCCAGACCAGCTTGGGTTAAAAAAACATTTTGTTTTAGAGAATCTATCTCAATGGAAAAAAGCTGAGCATGGTGGTATGTGCCTGTCATACCACAGTAAGCATAAAATAGGAGGACTGCAGTCCAGGCTGGCCTGGGCAAAAGGCAAGAACCTAAGTCCAAAATAGTCAAGGCAAAAAGGGCTGCATGCATGGATCAAGTGGTCAGTGCCAATCTCACAATCCTGAAGTCCTGAGATCAAACCTTGGTACTCCCCCACCCCAAATTCCTATGATGGTTTTAAAACAATACCTATGCTAGGGATGGATATTGCTCAGTAGTAGAGTTCTGTGGAAGATATTGTTTAGTTTGTTTTTATAAACCTCAGACTTGCCAATGATTCTTTTCCTTATTTCCATGACTACTACCCAACTCAAATCTTTTTGTTGATCCCATAGTGTAGTTTGAAGTAGTTCTGCCTTTATATCTCAAATCTTTATCCTTATCCCTGAGGTTGTTAGCCATAACTCAGTGACCTTCACTTCCAGAATTCTTCTGAAATCAGTTTTGATTAATTGTGATGTTGCTCCCAACAGAAGGACACCACTAGTTCCTTAAGCTCCAGACCTGTTAACACTGGCACAAATATGGAGGCAGCCGCTCCATATTTGTACTTGATTTTGTGTTGTGCTTATTTTTAAGCTAGTTACATATAGCTGGAAGAGAAATCAAGCAATCAATAGTCCATGTCTACTGTATCTATATAAATATATGCAAATTTTAAAAATGCCCTTGAATTCTAAGAAAGTGGGAAGGTCAGACTCTACAAGACTTGCTTAGCAATGGATGTTCAGAAGTTCAGTATGCTTGCATTTTTAAAGTGGTTAATATTAAAAACTACTTAAAACCAATGTGGTTAAGTTATGAACAGTAAAATGGTTTGCATTTTAAGTTGGTCTTACATAAATATCATTTAAGAATATTGTACAGCTTATGTACTTTTGAAAGAAAGCTAAACTTATGAATACTTGTAACACTTATTAAAATTTAGTAAGTAATCACCATCCTTATTGCTAAGATCAGTAGCATGGTAGAAGGCAGTTACTTCTGTGAATTATGTCTGTATTATAGTACATTTGGTGGGCATTTATTGACTCCAATAGTCTACTGACTATTGGGAGCCAACCATTGAATCAAGTGGACTTTGCAGAGCAATTCCGCCCCCCCTCTCCCCTCAGCTTCTGCAATAAGGGCAGGGACAAACTATCCTTGGAAGTGAGAGAAGCAGGTGAACTTTCTTCATTATGAAAACAAGGAATCCAAGGTGTTTTTCACCTTCTCAAGGGATGGTTTACTGTGGCAGTTGGAGGCAAAGGAGAATTCTATACATACATACTTAAGTGTTTAGATTACAAGGATAAGCCAAATAAAATTCCTCCCCTCACTGCCTGGTCTCTGCCCAGCATGGAAGAGCACAGAGAGGCGATTTAAAGCTACAGGCTCTGTCTGCACTTGCAGCGGTGGAAAAAGCTTACAGATCTGTTTTTTAAAATGGCTTATTGTCTTTTTCTCCGTTCCTGCACAATCTGAGATGTGGGACTGTGGCTTTAGTTCAGCCAGACGTAGTGCTGCAAAGGAAAATTAAATAGCCTCACGGTAATCAGTACTCTTTAAGTAGCTCACAGCCTCCTGGAGTGCTTCGAAAACCCGAAGGCCACTGGAGGAGGAGACAGAAGAAAGCAGCTCAGGCAATCCAGCACCTACCTCCCGGCCCGCGAAGCCGGCCACCCCGCCCCCAAGGCCGCCCCGCCCGGGAGGCGGGGCAAAGCACGCCCCGCCCCCGACCTTGCCCCGCCCCCCGGCGTAACCCGGATACACACCCACGCTCCCCTTTCACCTCGCGGCGGTTGGCTAACGTGGAAGTCAGACCTGCCGGCCGGCGGAGGAGTCGGGGTCGCGCAGCCTGGGAGGAGTTGGGCGCGCGGGGACGGCGACGGTGGTCTTCGAGGCACGGGTTGGCCTTTCCGGGAGGGAGCGATGGGGTGCGCGGCCGCCGGGGAGCGGGCTCCGGTGTAGTCCGCGCGGCACCTGGCCCGGAGCGAGGCGGCGGCGGGAGCGGGGAGGCCTGCGAGGGCTGCCGCCCCGAGTGCCCGGCCTCGCGCGCCATGGCCCCCATGGGCATCCGCCTGTCCCCGCTGGGGGTGGCTGTGTTCTGCCTGCTGGGGCTCGGCGTGCTTTACCATCTGTACTCGGGCTTCCTGGCTGGCCGTTTCAGTCTCTTCGGCCTGGGCGGCGAGCCGGGAGGCGGCGCGGCGGGGCCCGCGGCCGCGGCCGACGGGGGCACAGTGGACTTGCGCGAGATGCTGGCGGTGTCGGTGCTGGCTGCTGTCCGCGGCGGCGACGAGGTGCGGCGCGTCCGTGAGAGCAACGTCCTCCACGAGAAGTCCAAGGGGAAGACGCGCGAGGGAGCCGAGGACAAGATGACCAGCGGCGACGTGCTGTCCAACCGCAAGATGTTCTACCTGCTCAAGACCGCCTTCCCCAGCGTGCAGGTGGGTGGGTGGCGGACAGGGCGCGGGGTGGGTCGGGGGAGCCGGAGGGCGGCGCGCCTTCCCGGGCCGGGGAGCCCCTGGCGGTGGAGCCTCTCGCTCCCATTTTGCACATGCGAAGATTGAGACACACAAGTGCCTCCCTGAATGCTGGTAGGGTTGCACTTAGTCTGACTCTCCGCCCATGCCCTTTTGGCCAAGTCTCCTCGGTTGTGTGCGTGCGAAGTGTACCTGGGGCCGGGTTCTGGGTGGGAGTTGATGCCAAAAGGCTGAAAAGATGAACTGCATTGGCCGGCTGTGTAAATGAAGGGGATAGAGCCAGCAAGTCCCTGTTCCTCCTGGAGTTCATTACTGGAAGGGTCGTGACTGTAGAGTGTTTCCTGCAGGCCAACTAAAAGGCTAAGAACTAGAAGTCTTGTTGCAGAAGTGATAGCACGCAGGGCGTTGGGGGCAGGGGGTGTGCTCATAAATTACTTTAGCTGTAATGTTATAGGACCCGCTGAATAGCATGTAGTTGGGGGGGCCCTTCAAGGAAGCGTTTGGAAAGGCACTTCCTAGCAACTTTATTTCAGTGGTGTAGCCACCTGGCACTTGATTAGAGAGCCATATTTATGCCGGAGAATGAAACTGAATAACATTTACCTTTTCTTCGGGTAGGTTTCTGGAGGAGTTGACATTTTCTTAAGGAAATCCAGACCTTCTGGATTTGTTATTAATACTTTTGGAATTCAGTGGAACTGCCATTGAGTTGAATATACTTCAAACCCTTTTTGAATTTATTATAGTTCCAGAGGAAGAGCTCAGTGTTTAACAATATCTTATAAATGTGTTTTACCTAACAGTAGGTTTTGTCTACTAGAAAGGAAAGTTGTTTTCAGTGGAATTTTATTTATTAAATAAACAGTGATAACTAAACCCAAGCGTCTTTGGAAGGTGTCTGACATTTTACTTTTCTTGAAAGAATTAGTATATTGCCACTGTAGAATTTTGTATCTTACATAACTCTCCTTCCAGTCGTGTACTACTGCTTTGATTTTCTTTCTCCCCTTACCTTTTTTTTTTGCTTTCTTTCATTCTTCCATTTTTATCTGTGTTCTTTTATTTTTTTCCAAACATTGCATTTGTGTTATGAACTGCTAGAAGCCAGATGTAATTAACATTAGTAGAATTTTTTTCAAATGTCTTCTCAAACAAAACGCTGAATATTTCCACTTTTTATTTTTCCCTACTCTTTTTTTACCATCACAAATAATACTTATCTTTGTTTTCATCTAGGTGTAAGATATGCTTGTGAACTGTCTTTCATTCTCCTCTCCAAAATGCTTGTGCTTGCCTAAAAGTTTATAGACAAAGCAGACATTTAAGAGAAGTTGATGTGTGATAGTGTAATAGTATTAAGGATAATCACTCACTGAGTATATTGTAGGTGTCCAGATCCTGGCTATGCAGAGCTTCATTTCATCCAGGAACTATAAATTTCACAAAAATGGGATATCTGAGGCTCCCGAAACTCCACATACTTTTTGTTTTTGTTTTTGGTGGTAATGGGGTTTGAACTCAGGGCTTCACACTTGCTAGTCAGACACTACCACGTGAGTCACTCACAAGCCCTCCATTCCACATCTTATGTGAAATATCTAACTCTTTATTTTATCTAGAGTTTTAGGAGGATATTTAAAACTTACAGTATGATTTCCTGGGGAAAAAACATGCAGTCATAGAAGTTTAAAATTTAGCAGAGTTGAATTTTTTTTTTTTCAAAAAGGTAAAGTGAAAAGTATCTTAAGTAATGACACATAATGTGTAGTGTGTGCATGCGCTTGAGTTTTCACTTACTAGGAAAACAATAAGAGAATAGCTGCCAAGAATAGCAAGTGGCATTAAACACAAAAGCTAAGCTTTGGGGTTTAGGATTGTTTAATTCTCTGTCTTAATAGAACATAACTTTGCCTTTTTGTGACTATTTAAATGTTTGCCTATACATAATTAGTGTTTAGGTTGGAATAGAGGAGATTGTGTTCATTTACACATTGTTATAGGGATGGTATCATGTGGAGCTATCTTCTTTTATTCCAGTTTTATTAGACTAGAGGGCAAATGTTGTAGCCATCTAAGTAGAGATTCAATCCTAAGTTTTTTCTCCCTTCTCCTCCCCAAACGTCTAGAAGCACAGTCTTCAATGCCTGATTGTTTTTGAAGCCACATCTACCCCAAATTTTTTGTTAAGAAACTTAACTCATATCCTACTTAGTTTATTTCCTCATGGAAAATGACTATTAAAAAGCCACATTTTTTAATGAATTTATATTAATTGTACAAAGGCTTTCACTGTGGTGGTTCACACATACATATTTTATACTTTGATCAGATTAACCACCTCATTGCTCTCTCTTTTTCCCTGTCTCCTCTCCCCCATATTTTTCCATCATTTTCAGTGGGTTTCCTTATGGTATCTTCATGCATAAACACAATGTATTTTGATACTCACCCTCCATTTGCTTTTCCTTTCCACTTCTCCCATCCTCCCAAAACAGTCCCACAATTGCAGTCATGTTTTTATGTGTGTGTGTGTGTGTTTGTATGTACATGTATGTGCATATATATGTATACAGATATATATGGTATACAGATACATACACACATTTTAATTCTAGATTTCACGTATGAGAGAAAATACATGTTTGTTCTTCTAAACTTGGCTTATTTTAATTAATAGGATGATTTCCAGTTCCATTCCATCTATTTTTCTGCAGATGATGTAATTTCAGTCTTGTTTATGTCCAAATAATACTCCATTGTGTATATACCATATTTTCTTTATTTGTTCATCAGTTGAAGGGACATCTAGGCTGATTCCACAGCTTGGCTCTATAATAAACATGGGTGTGCAGGTGACTATTCTTTGTATATGTGCCCAAGAATAGTTGGGCATATGATAGTTCTATTTGTAGGGTGTTTTTTTTTTTGGTGGTGCTGGCATTTGAACTCGGTCTCGTGCTTGTTAGGCAGGTGCTCTACCACTTGAACCACTCCACCAGCCCTGTTTTTGGTTGGGTATTTTCAAGATAGGGTCTTACAAACTGTTTGTACAGGCTGTTTTCGAACCTTGATCCTTCTGATCCCTGCCACCCAAGTAACTAAGATTATAAGTATGAGTCACCAGTGCCCGCTTATTTTTAGTGTTTTGAGGAACCTCCGTACTGATTTCCATAGTGGCTGTACTAAGTTGTATTCCCACCAACAGTGTATAAGGATTTCTTTCACCCTACATCCTCACCAACATTTATTCTGAATGGATGAGATAAAAATTTAGTGTTGCTTCAATTTGCATTTCTTTTATGGCTAGGAATGTTGGTCATTCATACTTTTGAGAATTGTTCAGCTCATTTGTCCATTTATTAATTGTGGGTTTGGTTCTTTTGGAGTTTAGTTTATTGAGCTCCCTGTATATTCTTTTAAACCCCTTGTCAGGTAAATAGCTGGCAAAGATTTTCTCTTATTCTGTATCTAGTCTCTCCATTCTAGTATCTGTTTTCCTTTGCTGTGCAGAAGTTTTTTAGTTTGATGCAATCCCATTTGTCAGTCCTATTTGCTGAGCTATTGGAATCGAGAAGTTCTTGCCTATACTAATGCCTATATCTTCCAGTGTTTTCCCTATGTCTTCCTGTAGTAGTTTCAAAGTTTCAGGTTTAATCACTTCGAATTTTTGCCTCCCATGTTCATTATTGTGAAAATAGCTGTAGGCTGAAAGCAATCTAAACATTCAGTGCAATCCCCAGAAAGTTCTTGTGGAAGCACAAAAGACTTTGGATAGGCAAAGCAATCCTGGATAAAAAGAGCAATGCTGGAGGTTATCACAATACCGGGCTTCAAGCTATGTTTTATGAGCCATAGTAACTCAAACAACATGGTACTGGCACAAAACAGACACATTGACCAGTGGAATAGAATAGATGGACCAGAAATAAGCCCACACAGTTATACCAAGCTGATTTTTGACAAAGGTGCCAAAAACATACATTGGAGAAAAAGACAGCCTCTTCAACAAATAATGTTGGGAAAACTGGATATACATATGTAGAAGACTGAAACTAGATCCCTATCTCTTGCCTTGTACTGAAATCTTTTTCTTTTTTTTTTTTTCCTCTACAAATGGGAGAAGTCTTGTTTCTCCCACTGCTCTCCTATCTAGAATGTGAGTGCTGAGCTTTTCTATTCGATGTTCCTTCTTCAGTAAGAAAATACTAGAAGTCACTCCCCAAGAGGCATTTGACAGTGTCTGAAGACATTTTTGCTTGTCACAGCCATGGGTAGAATGCTGTGTAGCACCAAGTGGGTAGAGAGAAAACATCCTACAATGCATGAGACAGTCCTTATCTGGCCCAATTTGTCAGTTGGTGCCCAGGTTGACAAACCATACTCCAGAGAAGTGTGTGCTGCCCAAACAAAACTCAAGTTTGACCTTATATTGATGGATTTTCTTTTCAGTCTTTTTCAAGACATGGATCTTGGGAGAATCCTCAGGGAAACTGGCAATGCTTGATTTCACTGTGTCAAAATAATAGTAACTGCAGCCATTTGTATGACATGGTCTCTGATTATATCCCTTGTGGGTAAAGATGTAGTTTTGTGGAGTGGGCTTATAGCAACAAAACAAACTTAGATTTACAGTTTTTATTTAATGCATAGAGGACACCAGTTGTGGGGCTCCAGTTCTTAGCCTGTCTTGTTTAAAATTTTGACAGTGACTTATTTGAAGATAAAGCATAGTTCTCCAACATGGAAGCAGCAGGTTGCATCTGTGCCTTTCTTGACCTATAGGATAGGAGATGTTAAACTCATCTCTCAACAGAAGTACTCACTGGAAAAGTTGAGAAGCACTAACACAGTGCAGAGAACTTCTGCTTTGACATCCTTTGTAGTCACCAGACTAAGTGGCTCTGGCCAGTCACTTAACTTCTTTTATCAGGATAACTCAGAATTGGTACTGACATGTGCCCTGC